AAAACCACAAGTCTATCTCTACCTTTTTAACCAAGTGCATATTAATCAAATTATATACTTGTATCATAATGGAATAATTACTCTTTCAAAAAACCACAAGTCTATCTCTACCTTTTTAACCAAGTGCATATTAATCAAATTATATACTTGTATCATAATGGAATAATTACTCTTTCAAAAAACCACAAGTCTATCTCTACCTTTTTAACCAAGTACATATTAATTAAATTATATACTTGTATCATAATGGAATAATTACTCTTTCAAAAAACCACAAGTCTATCTCTACCTTTTTAACCAAGTACATATTAATTATACAAGTATATAATTTCATAATGGAATAATTACTCTTTCAAAAAACCACAGGTCTATCTCTACTTTTTTAACCAGTACATATTAATCAAATTATATATTTGTAGCATAATGGAATAATTACTCTTTTCAATAACCACAGGTATATCTCTATCTTTTTTCCCTTTCTTTATTAACGTGTTTATGTCAGTCTATTTCTAATGTATTTTTATCATGCATATCACCTTGTAAATCACACACAGTGTTAGGAAACGTTAACTATTAAAGACACGTTGTTTTAAATGGAATATCGTTTATCATTATATATGTTTTGAACACTAGGTGAAACTTATAAATATTTCGATTTTCTTAAACGAGAAAATGGTCAATGAAATTCGAAATATCTGCATAGACTGTTATAAAAATCAAATTTGGACTGGCGACATAAGTTCGCCATTTTACTCGAGGTCAGAATCATATAAATCCCCCAGTTTTAGGTATAATTTTATTAGCTTAAGGCACTTTGTTTCATGCATGCGCAAGATTATTTGCATATTTTGTGAATGACTTAATGTGACATTGTTCCCGCCCCCCCCCCCAGTTGCACAGCGGTATGTCTGCGGACTTACAACACTGGAAACCGGGTTTCGATACCCGTGGTGGGCAGAGCACAGATAGCCCTTGTGTAGCTTTGTGCATGATTATAAACAAACAAAACAAACAATGTGATATTGCAGGTTGCCGGGAAACAGGCTACTAAACTGTACAGCTTATTTATTTTACGTTTTGTGGTAAACGAAGAATTGCACAGGCTATGAGACAGGAATTTGTGGCGTTTGAATAGCCTATTTTATACTTTTCTTGTTCTGTCTACTGTCTGTTTGTATCTTGAAACCGATTAATGAAGTTTTAAAAGATATTGGAATAGGTTTGTTTGTTTGTTTGTTTGAAATTATGCACAAAGCTATACAATGGGCTATCTGTGCTCTGCCCATCATGGGTATCGCTGTGCCAATGAGGGGGGCGTATTGATAAGAATTTTGCAGCAAATATCCATTCATTAGTTTGTTAGGACGCGTATTTTTTTCAACTTGGGGCATGATGGTGGGTAAAACAAAATACGCGGCCTAGTTAACTAATGAATGAATATTTGCTGCAAAATTCTTATCAGCGCTATAAGTGTAGTTACCAGTTTTACCGCCAATTTTGATTTCATTCCTATAAATCTCACGTTCAATCCTTTTGTGGCCGCACATTTTTATTACATCTAAGGTGTTTTAGATTAGATATCATGACTTTTTGTCAATGCCCACCAACAAATCACAGCAAGTAAGAAAGTGACACTAGCTTTAGGATCGCAACCCTATCATTCGGAATAGTCCTATGCTTTACACAACCAACCAGATTCTTTAAATTATGTGGTGGTAGTTTTTCCTTTCTAAAACACTGTTAATAACTTCCTTTATAGTAACGCCATTGAAACTAGATTAACAGTTTCTTGTCATCACCCGCATGCACTCGGTAGAGCTGTATCAAGTATCATTATTTCCGCTAATTTCTTAAGCTAATATCACGTGACATTAAACGCTAGTTAATTAGG